GGCTTGAATCACACCTGCACCATCATCCTCCGCAACGTGTCACTTGCAATTGCGGAGCCTCGTTTCTCGCCCCCCTCCACCTGCTTCGCCCGGAGAGGTGCCGAGTCCTGTCACTAGCAACGGGCTAGATTGGCCCTGATTTTTTTTGTTTTTTGTTTTTTGTTTGTTTGTTTGTTTGTTTGTTTGTTTGTTTTTTGTTTTTTTTAACTATGCAAGCAGGCATTTGGATTTCCTGATGAGCACATTTCCAAGGCAGGTGGATGGGAGGAGGCTTGAAGAAAGATTAGACAGACTTTTTCACTTCCAAACCATCGTGCGCACCAGGTTTGCTCATTTCTGATTCACAGGCAGGCTCTTGGGCTAATTCTCGAACCTGAGAATGCAGAATGAAAAGTCCATTAACAGGAAACCTCCTATCCTGAAAGCACAAGAATGGCATTTGGTGCCGGTGAAAGGTGTCAGATGATGGATATAGCAACAGAGGCTGAAGCTGTCTTCACCTCCACAGAGCAGGGCCAATGCAGGCTGTAGCACGCTAACCCTGTTGAAGACTGCCCCACATGGCTCATCTTTGAGCTGAAGGCACCTGCCTGAGTGAGATCGGGGATGGAAGGTAGGCTGCGGTCTCTAGTCAGTCTTGGGCCCCTCTGCTGGCAAAGACCCGACACAATCATCACAAGTGGATGTTGGAGAGGGAGCTAAGGGAGCAGGGCAGGGTCCCAGACTGCTTGGACTGCAAGCAGAGAACCGCATTTACATTTCAAAGCAGAACCTGTAAGAGGCGAGAGACTGGGATGCCCTGAATGCAGGAGAGGTGCTATACGGGAGGGGCATGTAATATGTGACTGTGGTCAAGGCATCAAAGGGAGAGAAGGAGGTGCAGATTCACTGATAAAAACCCAGGCAGAGAGGAGGCCTGTGGGATCTCCCCTCCCATGCCCAGGACACCCTGCAGATTCCCCAGCACTTTCTGAATCCCTGGCTGTAAGGGGACACTTTGCTCTTGGGACTACGTAAGACTCATGCAAAGGCTTTCTGTTGTCTTTTTGGTTTATTATATTGCATTTTAAATTAGACTAAGTGTGTCTATTGTCACTGTGATTTACTGGGCGTCTTCGCTTAGCTGAAGTTTTCTGTTGTTCTTTGTCATATGCTTGAAGTTGAGAATTGTATAAATATGTTTGGAAAAAAAAATGCCTGCTAAAGGCTTTGGAAGCATCTGAAGCCCCACGCTGGGGTGGAGGATACTTGCTGGTAGCAGGGCCACATACAGTTCTTGAATGATTTGGATTTGGACCTGAATTGGCTAATTTGACCTGGGATATGAGCAATTTTCCTTTAAAAAAATGTTCTCTTCAAAGAATGGACTATACTTGTTCAAGCATTTATGAATTCAGTGCCACTACCTAAAGTCCAATATTAAATCTGACAACACCTCTGCTGAGGCTGCCAGCTGGGCAGCATGTATGGCCATTGCATGGCTCTTACGTGATACGGCTTCTGCCAACTAGGAGCTGAAAACCACGGGGTCATTTCATAGGCTGCGAAGCAGTCATGGACTGGTCCCAGCTCTGGGCCATGACCACCCCCAGTAGATTCCAGCCAGCAGCCAAAACATGAATAGCTTTGGTGCTCCCTTCCCAGCAAATCCCCCATGACAAGCCAGGCTCAGCAACAACAGAAAAGTTAACCACTTTTTCTCCTTCCATCGGTCCAGGCCCAATCACACGATGGGTCTGTTTGTTTTTCAGGAAGCTCCAGCGCAGATGCTGGATGCACCAGAAACTCTACCCTGCAGCATCTGACTTGGCGCCTTCTCCGCAATTACAGCAAGGGAGTGCGGCCTGTCAGGAACTGGGCACAGGCCACGACGGTGTACCTGGACCTCTTTGTCCACGCGGTGCTGGATGTGGTAAACAGACCCTCAAACAACATGCACAGCTGTTTATAATGCAGTTCAGTCTACTGCATAAGGAGGGGAATGCATCTAAAGCTAGTGACTGTGGACTTTCTATTAATGGACCACTTTGTCCCTGCTCCATTTATATGCGAATTTCTTGAATTTCATAATGCAAAGAGCAGACTTACAAACTGGCACCGCTGTGCTCATTTCAGCTGGAAAGCTGCACACTTCTCCTTGCCTCCAAGGATGAATTTTTTTTTTAAATAGATGTTATAAAGAGATCGATTAGATTGGCCATGTTTTGAAAATCCTTTCCATTTATCAGTTTCAATTAACCATTTTGAGAGCATTAGGGCTGGGACTGCCCAAGTGAGACAGATTATGAACAGGATTAGTACTAACGGTCTCAATCTGCTTTGAAAACCCCACCCTCAGAGCTTTCTTTGCACCCCCAGAAACCCATATGCAAGCCACTTTGTCCTGGTGAAGATCTAGGAAGTGAAACTACCAGCACAGTCTCACTGAGCACCCCAGTGATACTAGTCCAACCCGAGTCAAATACAGACAAACCAACCACTGCCATTTGTATTATACTCTTGTCCACTTCAGCAGCCTACAGAATTATTCATAGTACAGGACAAGGGAAGAATACAACCTGGGCTTGACTTCCAACAACATCCCTTTAAGCACAGTCAGAAAGTCTGTGCCATCCATACCTTACCTGAGCTGTTTTGATATTCTGGAAGCTGCTGAAATATGCTGAGAAGCAAGCAAGTATATTAACATGGGCACAGTGTGGGCACAGTATTAATTATATGAAATATGCTACATGAATTAATGAATAACTACAAGCACTGCAATTACCTCCGATGTGGCAGCTCTTTAATTCCTTCTTGCTGGTGCACTGAGATTGCATTTCAGGGCTTCTAAAGCCCCAAAGGTTGGGTGTGGATCAAGGCAGGGATGTTGTCTCACATGCCAGAGCCGATTTCCTTCTGCCCCAGGCCTGTAAGGGGAGAAAAGGGGTGAGGATAGAGCTGGAAAATGCCATTTTGTTATAGCAACTAAAGGCAAAGGTTCTCAAAGCAGCACTAACAGGACACTGCTTTTCTTTGTCTTCACTGTAACAAGTCCTTCATCATCTTTTACACACGGTGACTTAAATGGCACCCAAACCAAGCTTCCCTCTAGAGCTCATCATCTTCCCTTCAGTTAGGGGTCTGAGTGAAGGTGTTACCCCAGACCAAAATTAGAGGTCAGGAGAGAAGGTCTTAGGAGGAGAGACTGAGAGCCATGGGATCTTCAGCTTGGAGAAGTGAAGGCTTAGGGGGGCCTTGGTGGCTGCCTATACATACATTAGGGATGTGCATCAGGAACTGGGAGAACATCTGTTCCCCAGGGCACCCCCAGGGAAGATGAGGTCTAACGGTCACAAACTGCTGGAAGACCGTTTTAGACTGGACATAAGAAAAAACTTCTTTAGTGCCTGAGTCTCTAGTCTGGAGCAGACTCCCCCCAGAAGCAGTGCAAGCACCTACCCTGGATACCTTTAAGAAACCCTTGGATGCTCACCTTGCTGGGGTGACCTGACCCCAGCTGACTGCCTGCCCTTGGGCAGGGGGCTGGACCTGATAATCTCACGAGGTCCCTTCCAGCCCTAATGTCTATAAAATCTGTAAGTCCCTCATCATCTTTTACACACGGTAGGAAGCAGTGACTTAAATGGTACCCAGACAAAGCTTCCATCTAGAGCTTCAAGGAGGGGAGCGTGAGTGAAGGTGTGCCCCCAGCCCAAGATGAGGCTGAGAAAAAAAGAGCATTTGGGTCAGGGTCTTCTTTGCATCTTTGGCACTAATGAGGCTGTATGCACGCTGCCAGATACATCCGAGCAGAGATTTGGCTCTGGTGCCAACGCTGTCAAGAAGCAGCAGGCTCTAAAAGACTGGAAGCAGTCGAGACTTCAGCAGGTGCGCGTGCTAATAGACGAACTGTTTAGCAACCATTGTTTCGCGTGAAGAGTTCTCGCCCCGTCTTCATCGCTGCCTCTGACTCCTATTGTGATCTTTTGCCTCCTGTTTCCCGTCCATAAAAGACTAGTCTTGTCTGAGAATATTAAGTTATTACGGGGACCTTGGGGAAATCTGATTAGGGAGATAATCTAGTCAACAGGGAAGAGCTCCAATTTGTTTATATTGGGTTTTATCAATTCCGAATCCCAGATACCTTTGTATTCCACTCCATTGACTAGAGCCTCCCAGACAGACGCTGAGGCATCTGTTTCTATAGTCTGCCGAACTGGGGAAGATAAATAAGAATGTGTGGGAATTATCTGTACATTTGCTAACCACCAATTTAGGTCTAAGTAGGCTCCCTCTGTTAGGAAGACTAATGAATTCCAATTCTCCGAAATATCCTTTGCTTTTAACAAGCAAGATGGAAGGTATCTGGAAAAGAAAGAGGAAAGAGCTGTGAATAATGCCACGAGAGAACCAATTACGCCAGCCAGCTGGCATTGAAAAACTTGTTGTTCCACTTGACAAAAAGACTCTAGTTTTCGCTGCAGACTTCTTCCCCCCCCACCATCAACCGATGCTGGAATTTCAGCCGTCGGGATGGGGAACCTAACAGCGGGCAAGGAAGAGTCCTCTGCAAAGAGGTTTTTAGGAGGAGAAAGGAAAACAAAATAGATGGTGAAATAGGTGGCGGAGGGAGGTACCAGTCCAGCAATAGTTGGGGTAACAGAAGGAGTGGCCGTAGTCAATACAGGGGTTGTCCAGTGTCTCTTGTAGGCCTTTGCCAAGCTGTGTTCCTGCAGTAAGTCATCTGCATCTCAGATGAACACAAAAAGAAGTCCGGTGAATATCAACAGTGTTTCATCTGCAAACGAAATCAGCCTTTGACACAGACGTCTGCAGCAAAAACCAGCCAACAATAGGGGCAGTCCTCCTGTGGCTTCCAGCTGGTGACTGCTCAGCAGAGCTCATAAGGCATTACCTGAGTCCCCACCCTTCAGCCTGAATCATGCATGCTGCCATTCCTGCCGTCCAAGGGGGGCAACGCGGTCAGGCGAGCCAGAAAGGAGCTTGGTCTCCTTGTATTAGGTCTGACCTGGACCTCACCCTTTCCACATCACATGAGCTCATGCAAGTTAGAGGTGTGTGAAGGGGGCTGTTAGATCACCAGGATCCTGCTAACAGGACGGTTCAGTGTCCCCCAGGAGCAGGCACACTGCATTTCCACTGCTGGGTTTGTAGTCAAGAAGTGAGTTTTTTCCTTTGGGCATCTCTCGTCCCCGCTAGATGCAGGTGCAGGGCTCCCTCTCGAGGTCAGATCTGGTGCAATATCCAGTGTAAAGATCAAAGGCTTCTGGATAGTCCTGCAGTGCCTTTGTGGCCTCCAGTGATTTCTCATTCCATTTTCTCAGGGGCTGGGGACTGCATCCATGCCATGCTGAAAGCAGAAGATGAGCTGCAGGGCCCTGGGCTGCAGCAAGAGGCATTCCTGCTACGCTCTCAGTCCCAAGTCAGGAACAGCTCCTGTCATTCTCTCTTTGCAAGGACCTCAGATTATCTATGCTCCAGGCAACCTTCCTTCCTGAGCTCATGCTTGAACCATGTTCCAGGAGACTAATCCATTTGACAAACCCTGTTGACTCAGGAACAAGCAGAGCCTTGGTCCTACAAACATTGGGCCACACTTAAACTTGAGTGCAACAGCCCTCATCCCATTCCTAAATGGAGGCACAGGTTTCAGTGTCTACAGCCCCAGACCATAAGGTCTTCAGAAGAAGGACTGGGTCTATTTCTCTGTCTGAACAGCCCTCAGCAGTGCGACCCTGATCCTGAGTGCGGGGGGTATGATATCCTATAACGACACCAGAGAGGAAACGGGAAAGGTGCCTCGTCCTTCCAAAAGCAGGAAACTTCTACCTGCCTGGTCATAACAAAACGCACCTTGCTTGCAGTCACCTCTTCTGGTTTCAGAGCAGTAAAACACACACACGTGCGCGTACATACACAGGTTTAACACACACATCCAGCGCGCGCACACACATTTAACACACCCAGCTGTCTGTAGCCACTGAGACAACCCCCTCTGAAAAATTATGAAGATCCTGATTACTGATATAAGCTCAGCCTCATATTTTTAGCTGTGGGTTTGCTGAGAATATGTATTATGCTTAGCAGCCTGATTAATGTCACAGTAACTAATTAGGGTGCGAGAGAGATGCTGGTGATTCGTTTAGAGTGTCAAGTGCAGCCCAAGTGCCATTTTATCAAAGATAATTTACTGTAGTGAGGATTGTACAGGCTCAGATGAATAATAAAGTGGAACTGAGGATTGGCAAGAAGTGGGGTGATGGCCAAACAAACCCCAGGACCCTTCCACACAGTCTCACGGTGTCCACCAGAAATGTAAAAGGATGCAATCAATTTGCAATCTAGTCAGTTCAAAAATATATATAAGAAAACTACGCAGCTAAAAGCCAGTGCTGCACTCTCTCTCTCCGAGGCATGTTTTCTGCTGTCCCTTTTGCATCACAAATATAACATAAAAAAGCACAGTCAAATCCCCAAAATCTGTATTTCCTGAATCTACACAAATGCTCCAGGCTTTGCTGCTGCAATTGGTGCTGAAGTACAAAACCCCACGAGCATCACTAAAGGATAGTCCAAGGGTCACTGCCCAATTCCTCGATGCCCCATGTGCCAACTCTTCTTTTGCGACTCATAAACCAGTGACGACTGGTGCCAGGGTGGGTCTGACAGGGGATGGATCACTCGAGACGTGCCCCATTCCTACAGTCTCCATCTAAAGCATCTGCTTCTTGCCACTGTTGGAGGCAGGGTCCTGAGCTAGCTGGACCCTGGTCTGACCCTGTGTGGCCCAGCGGGTGGCTTCTCCCACCCTTTATCAACTCCACAGAAGCCCCCCAAGGGCTTGTCTGCACTGCAGCCAGAGGGGTGAGGGCAGCAGGCACAGCCTCTAGCTAGTGCAGGGATGCTCAGCAGTGCACAACTTTCACGTGGCCTGCACCCTTCTGCTTGGAGCCCGTGTCCGGGCTTGGTGGCTGCCCGTGCTGAAGTGCAAGCTGCCACAGCTGCCCTGATCCTCACAGCTTGGGCGGGCTACACGCAGCAGTCGTGCCCTGGTGATCCTGCTCTTCCAAACACCTGCTAGCCGAAGCATTGCTTATGACAGCAAGTAAACCCCATCAAAGCCAGGAGGACTCTTCTGCACAAGGGGGTCTGATAGCTGATGACAGGGCACTGCCAAGGGGAAACAGTGAAAACAATGATAAACAAGGAGAGGAGGGGATTATCTGTAGCATGAGTCCCAATGACTTCTACTGGTCCAACTGCACAAGCTATGCATGCTAAGGAAACAGGAAAACAAGACTCTTATCTCTATTGCTTCAAGTAAGCTTAGACATTATACGTAACAGCAAGTGGATCGTCAGGTGGGAGATCTGAAAGCTGCTCTGTCTCTTCCTAAACCAAGTGATTTGTTAAACCTTTGCTTATATGTTTTCTTCCCTCCCCACAGGATTCACAGAATCAAAAGCTCACGACAAGTATTTGGTTACAGCAGGTAAATGAACCCTTCCGGCCTTTGCTCTTTGCGACACAGGAACAGAGAGCGCCCTTGCTTGCTCTACAGCAGTGGTTTTCAACCTGTGGTCCATGCACCCTTGAGGGTCCACAGGCTATGTCTAAAGGGTCTGCGAAAGATGACTATGATCAATCAAAAGTATGTGAAAACCCGCACTTAAAATTCAAAGGGGTCCGTGCTCCATTCATTCACAATTTCCAAAAGGGTCTGCAAGTGAAAGCCACTGCTGTATAGCAACTGTGTCCAGTTGCTATTTTTCTGAGAGTTAATGTGCTGTGGGCATGCACACATGTGTGTGCACACATATGCACCAAGCCACTCATTATGGGTTCCCAAGGGCAGATCATATTGAAACCTGTGCTGCAGGAAGTGGAGCAACACGTGCTGCTGGCACGAGCACCCTTTCCTCTGCCCCGACCAGAGGGGTCAAGCTGCTCTCATGCTGCCAGCATGAGATTTTCCTCCTCTCCCTTCCCCTAAAGAACAAAGTCAGGGGTTCAGCCTTAAGATGCCACCTTCACCAACTTGCACCCCATGCCGCACACCAGGGCATCTCTGAAGCAAACACATCCCCACTCTCCCCACTGCAGAGCTGGAAGGACGAATTTCTCACCTGGAACTCCAGCCTCCACGATGGGATCAGGGAGGTGTCCCTGCTGCTCAGCTCCATCTGGTCTCCGGATATCACCATCAATGAGCTGTAAGTAGGCACAAGGCCGGGCTTCACTGCAGGCTGGTCAGCCAGACAAGTGCTCGTGGTGCTTTTTTTCCACAGCTGTCCTGGGGCAGGCTCCTTCCCGGCACGCTCACATTTCAAGACAGATTTCCAAGGTCTGCTTCCTTTCTTAATGCAAAATAAAAACTCAAATGTCTCTGCACCATGGCAGTCTCCTGTCCCAGCCAGTCCCACCCAACACTGAGGCACCTGAGAGTGCTAGGCTCTTCTAGTATCCAGGTTGTAGCCGTATTGGTTTAAAGGAAAAAGCAATCAGGACTCATGGTAGAGGTGATATCTCTTATTAGACTGACTACATTTTTGCAAAAAAAAATTCTTTAATTGCATGCTTTCGAGGTACTATCCCAACTTTTCTCTGAGCCTAATCTGCATATAAAGGAACTTTTCCAAACAGGTGATTTTACCACCTTCAAATCTCCTATGAAATATGAACTTTCATTTCTACCCAAGAGAACTTTTACAGTCTTTCCTCCGATGCCTGATGAAGGGCATTTGTGCCCGAAAGCTTGCAATTAAAGAATTATTTTTGACAAAAATCTAGTTGGTCTAATAAATGAGATCACCTCTACCATGAGTCCTGAAGGCTCCTCTGGAAATCTCACCCATTACCATCTCGGCATGAATTCTCAGCTTCATGCATGTGTCCCAGCAAGGAGCCTGCCGGGGGTTTCCCCTCCTGCCTCACACAACCACCTGTCCTGTTGCGTTTAGTGTGGATGTCAGCAAGTCTCTCGATATCCCCTACATCTACGTGAATGCGAGCGGGATGGTCAGGAACGAAAAACCCATGCACGTGGTGTCTGCATGCCAGCTGGAGCCATACGCCTTCCCATTTGACACCCAGACCTGCAGCCTGACCTTCAGCACCATCCTGCACACTGGTGAGTGCCGGGGAAATGCGTGGGCACAGAGTCTGGCCCTCGTGGACAGGCCCTGTCTGTCCCACTCCACCCCTTAAGTCTGGGTGGTTGTTTTCTTGGGGTGCATGTGCTATTTCTAGGCTCACCATCCACCCCTTCCCTTTGAGACAAGTGCCCCGGTTGGTGCCAGTATCAACACTGGTGCAGCCCAGCTGGCCCTGTCTTGCTTTGGGCCTTTGGTAGGACCACATTCAGAGCAGCCTGGCTGAAGAACCGGCCAGTTATTGCACCAAACTCAGCCCAGAGCCAGCTGCACGTGATGCTGGAGGAAGCAAACGAGGTGTATGGGAGCAGTGCCACGCAGGCTCCCGACCCCCCAGAGCACGCCCATGTGGGCTTGTGTCCCAGGGACCTTGCAGAAAGCAAGTCAAGCCCCGGTGGGCAGGGGAAACTCCCCCAGAAACAGTGTGGGGCTCTCTCACACCAAAAGGCTCCTTCCCCGCATCCCAGCCCTGACTGTGTGTTATCCCCAGTGGAGGACGTGGACCTGGCCGCGCACGCTGCAGACAACAAGCAGGTCTTCCTGGCCGACGGCGAATGGGAGCTGCTCTCTGTGCCCACCCGCTACCAGGTCCTAAGCACCCACAGCGGGCGCTATGCCGAGGCCCAGTTCCACGTAGGTATCTGCTGCCGCTGCTCCGCACCGGTGGCCTTTCCTTCAGCAACTTCCTCCTTCCCCTGTTGTCATTCAAATCCCTCTCTCCCACGCAGGCTCCGCTTAGCCTCCCATCCTGGCTGGCCAGGAGACCCTGCAATCCCAGGCTACCAGTGGGCTAGCAGGCACGTGGCTGCGGGAGGGAGGAGATGTGGGGATGGGAGAGAGAAGGAGCAGTGGGTTGTTCGGTAAAACTTCCCCATAGCAGAGACATCCACAAGAGACACAAGATGGACAAATGGACACCACCAGCTGGTCTCTCCAACTGTCCCTGGCTTGAGTGAGGGCAAGTGACCCACCCTTCAGGGGCTTTTGCAAGCCAGCTCTCAAAACAAGTCACCCTGAGCACTGCCCCAGGCTCTGTGCCTGTATCAAGATGATTTCCAGCTAGAAAAGGGAGTGGGCATCACTGAGAACCAGGAGCCCTGGCCTGGCACCCCCCACACTTGGACATTTAGGTCAGCACCAAGGGGCAGCAGCTCTGACCACAAGGCTGAGAGGCCGTACAGCGACCCTAGCACGCAGACGTAGGACTGGGTGCACCAGGAGCCCCGAGGGGTAGGGGCTAATTTGTCCTCCCCCCGCTCGCCGGAGAAGGGAAACGCGTTTTTGTTTTGATGAGCTTCTTGACTAAGACTTAAACACTTCATTAATTTTAAAGATATCAGCCTGCGAACGTTATTAATGCCGGAGCCAGTAATGAGGAACACTTAAAGGGAAACACACGGGGCCGTCCTGCTCACGACGGCATGGAGGCAGCAGCTCTGCCCATGCCTCAGACCCAGGACAGAACTGCAAAAGCACAGCCTGGGCAGGCTAAACCAACCGTTCAGACCCAGCCCTGGATAACGGGGATGTTCCTGGGAAAATGTAGCCATAGGAATATGAAATGCCTTCCCGAGACCAGCAGCCCGCCTGGCCAGGACTAACCTGCAGGGCCCGGTGTCTGGGTCCTGAGCAGACCTGGCTGCCTCTTCTCGGGGCATCTGCTCCTACCAGGTCTTTCTTCAGGTGGCCGTGAAGCTGCCTCTGCTCCCCTCAGCTGTGCCGAGGCTCTTCTCTGTCCTGTCCCAATCCAGCCCCTGCCCTGGCAAGGAAAGACAGGGGCATTATGAGATTAGTGCCAGGCCGTCTGCTCCTGTTACAGTCTGGAAAGTGGTGGCCACTTTTGGCAGGGGTCCCTAAGAGGAGCCCCTTGTCATGACAAGGGCATTTATGCTGAGCTGGATCGATCCCCATAGGGGCCTGTTCCTTGGAGGCCCTGGAGGAGGTGCTAGCACTGAGTCAGAGCAGGATGAGGCCCTGAGGCTGGATGGCAGTGAACTTGGAGACTTCGGATGGGATCAGGCTCCAAGGCAGGCAGTGCCCATGGGGTTAGCGGCTACAGTGCCCTGTAGCCACCGGCATACCTGGCAAGTCCCACATCTGGATGGGGTGTTCATGTACTGTATCCAGCCAGGCAGAGGTGGTTTTCTAATGGGAAAGCATAAGGCAGCAACGTGCCTGGCATCACATCAGGCCTCCTCCGACTCCTCAGTGCGAATGCCCAGGACCTCACTCACGGCTGCGATGAATGGGGACGGCCTCAGCACGTGCGCAGGCGAGGCTCAAGCTCACACCTCTGCAGCTGCGGCCAGACGGCTTTACTGCTCTGCCCCGACAAATCTGGGTAGTGCCCCCCTCCCCGCAGCCCAGACCTGAAGCCCACTGCACATTGACCCCGGGGACCGAGGACAACACCCATCAGCTCTGCCCTCACAGCCTCTGACTTGTGACTGCCTGGAAAGGAGCGGGCTGCCAGCTGCCCGCCCATCGGAGGAACCTCAACAGCAGAGAGAGCGAGCAGCAAACAACGCTACAAACCAGCATGCGGGTGTCAAACTCTACCTGTGTCATAAAGACAGTCATGCAAGATTAAGTGCTGGTGGGGTCTGCTCTCGCAAAGGCAATTGGCGCCTCACCTTGGGTAATATCCCATCTCCGACGCGCGGTTGCCGTACATGCTCGGAAGGAGATGGATCTCCTTCATTAACACCAATGGGCTGCAAATACCTTTGTGTACTTATTATTACCTGGCTTTAATGGATAATGAAATTGTGGCATAATATTGCTAACACCTGAAGGGTGTCTAATGGAGAGTGCGGCGGAAACTTAAAGTGCTTTCTTCCCTTTGCTGTGGAATTTAAAGGCATTGGGCTTCTTAGCCTATTAGAGGAGATGGGATTTGGATGGTGTAAGATCTGCACGGGGTAACCCCTAGCTAAGAAGGGTTCAACCTGGAGAAGGCACCGCTTGGCAGGCATCTTCTGGACTTGCCGGGAAGAGCTGCTGCCTATGGACCACAGGGGTCACGACCTGAGCCTTGGCTCAGGGGATGCACTAAACACAGGCCCAGCAAGTCACGCACCGGGATGGGGGACCTGCTTATTGGATCCATGCAGTCAGAGGTGGTTTTATAATGGAAGGAGGATGCAGGCTACTAAGGGGTGCAAAGCAAGGATGTGGCTCTGGATCCAGACTGTGGCGGCCTGCTGTTCAGCAGCAAATAACAGTCTCCAGCCATCTCCATGGCTCTGTCCCTTCTCAAGTCCTACAGAGCTGGGATTCATGCCCAGAAACAACCCCCGCACAGCCCTCTCCGCCAGCAGGGTGGCAGCTGTATCTCACCAGGCGAGGTGCAAACAGAGCCCCCCCTGCCCTGCCCACCCTACCTGAGCTCGGTGCCAACTCTGCCATCCTGGAGGAGCCACGTGCCGTGGTCCGGCCACATCTGGAACTGCTGCAGGGACTGAGCTGGGAGTGAGGTGATCTGCCTTTGCCTCGAGGAGCTTGCAGCAGACCTGGGCCCCGAACCTGGGGCTTGGACAAAAGACGCAGGTTCTTCGGTCCATCACGGGGAAGGTCGCAGTCAGGCTGAGCCCACGGCATCTGCACTGAATGCGACTTCACAAGTTCAATGGATGCACTACTTAGCACGTCCCCACCTAAGAAATCCCTCTGGAGAGCCAGCTACAAACCTGTGAGCATCAGTCCAGACCTTTGAGGTGCTGGAAGTCCAGCACGGAGCCCATTATTTGCTGCCGAACAGCAAGCCACCACAGGCTGCATCCAGTGCCATGTCCTTGCTTTTGCACCCCTTAGCTTCCCTTCTTTACTGAAGGTCCATCAGGCTTCAAAACTGCTGCTCGAACTATGGCTGATTTTGTTCCTAGATGCCAAGCCCGAACGAGGAGTGCTTTTCAGTAGTGATGGATCGTGCTGCACACAGGTTTGCATGACTGATGGATAGCAGGGAAGGGCCTGGAGTGGCTGCTCTCAGGCCCTGGATCACAAATCCAGCGAGAACAACCACTCTGGCCATTCAGAGGCTTCAGTCCTGCCCAACTCTGGAAAGCACAGGGGCAGAGGGGTTATTTGGAGAGGCACCAGGATAAGCGAGCTCACAGCTCTTGCCAGCCACAAAAGCATCTCAGGGTTTTGCAGGGAAATGACTGAAGCAATATGGCCTTGGCCACCTCTATCGGCAGCCTCTAGCACAGTGACAGCTCCTGTAGCATCACTGCCAGAGGCTGGGAGGCGGCGCAGGGTCTCAGGGCACCTCAGGGAGACTGGCACCAACTCCTTTCTCCCCCAGATCGTCATCCGGAGGCGGCCCCTGCTCTACGTCGTCAGTTTGCTGATTCCCAGCATCTTCCTGATGGCCGTGGACCTGGGCAGCTTCTACCTGCCCCCCACCTGTGGCACGCGGATCACCTTCAAGGGCAGCGTGCTGGTGGGCTACACCGTCTTCAAGGTCAACATGTCGGCCGAGCTGCCAGGCACCGCGTTCAGCACGCCTCTGATCGGTGAGCAGACACCCGCAGCCGGGTCGGGCAGAGGCAGCAGGGACTTTCTTCTGAACATAGAAATCACAGACAAGGAGGGTGGGAAGGATGCTCAGGAGGTCACATCTAGTCCAAGCCCCTGCTCCAAGCAGGACCAGCCCCAGCTGCACCATCCCGGTCTTAAAAATCTCTAACGTGTCAGAGCGAGACACCCCAGATGAGCCAGACATCTCAGCTGATCTGGTCTGTTCTGCTTCTGTCCTCCTGCAGACAATCTCTATACGACTCGAGAAATGGGGCGGCTGCCACCTCCCCTTCAGGAGAAACCTCATGGGCTAATCCAGGGGTTAGCAATGTATGGTCCTGGAGGACTTTGCTTGTAGGAGGACTGCAACCAGCCTGACCACATCGGTCCTGCCCAGAGCGGATAGGATTTTTATCCAGACCACGGCTGGCATTGAGGGGCACTAAACAATGTCCCCGGCGGTCCTAAACCAAGCGGGCACGGGCCAGTCAGGCTGCCATTAGCCAGGTGCGTGCCCCTGGCTGCAGGGTGGCCAGCCCCACAGACACCATTTGGGGCTCTTCCGGCAACGCTCACCCCGCAACGGCCCCGTCTCTCCCCCTCCATCTCAGGGGTGTTCTTCACCATCTGTATGGCCCTGCTGGTGCTCAGCCTCTCCCTGTCCATCCTGCTTGTGAAGAGCCTTCATCCAGGCGAAGTCCACGCATGGCAGAGGCTCACTTCTCACTGCTATCGGGGGGAGAGCGGCTTGGATGGAAAGGATCAGGGGGCCAACTCCCAGGCAGCTCCGGCGTGCACCGAAGGTACATGGGGGGCTGGGGAGGGCTGAGCCCCTCGAGCACATGCATTTCTCCAAACGGCTGCCGTGCTGAGCCTGACCTGCCTTCCCTGCAGGTGCCCCATTGCCGGGGGAAGAAGCAGTGCGAGGAGAAGAAGGACCCTGGGAGGGGATGCCCACCCAGAAGGCCGCGATGGAGGAGATCCTAGCTCAGCTCCTCCTCATCAGCTCTCGCCTCCGTGCCCTGCATCGGGACAGCAGGCAGGAAGCCGACTGGCTCCGGCTCTCGTGCAAGCTGGACACGCTGCTCTTCCAGGTGTATGCCGGGGTGGTAGCCGTCTATGCCATCACGCTCAGTGCCCTGTGGGCAATGTGGAGCTCGCAGCAGCAGGAGGGATAGAGGGCACAGCGATGCTAATGGCACGTGCCGTCAGGGCACACTGGGGGTAGGTCCAGGCCGGGGGGACTGGAGAAGGGGCCCTTCTTTCTCAGGGGCCTGGGGTGGATGAAGGAACTGACCTTTCAGTGTCAGGGCACCATCTCCAACCGCAGAGTCCCATGGGGATGGCACGCTGCCCTCTCCCAGCACAGGGCCCATCCCGTCCTTCGCCAGGGTCACCTCCTGCTGCTTTCCATCCAGAACCGAGTTCCCCCTAAACAACAAAGAAATTAAATGCACAAAGCCTTTACCTGCAGCTGCCTCTTGCCACTCATTACTGCAGTGCTGGTGTTTAGCTCCAATTGCCCATGAAATGCTTCCCCTGCTCCTAATGAAATGAAGAGGAGCAGACAGCTTTGGAGCCACTGCCCCGCTCCCACCTCTTCCTCCCTAATTTGGAGCCATGTCCCCAGCAGTGCCCGCATGGAGACACCCGGGAGTCTCCTCTGCCCCGGCAGCTGCCTGAGGCTTCCCACAGAGGCTGAAATTCAGCAAAAGGGGCATTTCCCACCCAGCTGCAAGCCACACTCCCGGTCCTGCCACCCCTGGCTTGCTGTCCCGTGGCCTCAATGAAAGCATTGGCCCCTGCCGGTAAGAGCAGCCCTCTGATGCACCCTAGTCTAGAGCCGTTACTTCAGCAAAGTCCCACGACACGTGCTCATCCTGTGCAAGGCCTTCCCTGTTCAGCAAGGCACGTAAGCACATGCTATGCTCTGCTGCAGCTGCGGCAAGAGCCAAGGGCCTGGGGGCAGGACCCCGGGGTCTCCGTAGCTGCACGGACTTGCTCCGCTTGCTGTACTGCTCTGCAGGACAGAGACCAAAGCAGCGCTGCTTCCCTGCGAGGCTGGGGCGTGCTTTTCTGCAGCTCGAGCTCCCCAGGTGTCGCATCAATCCTGTCTCCCTCTCCCGCAGGGCGATCGTTTGTCAGAGGACTATTCGGAGGAGACTGGAGAGAAGCCGGTTTGTAGGAGATACACTTTAGACCCAGGCCAGGCTTGTGCTCATTACAGCAAGTGTCATTACAGGGCACTTTTTACAGAGACACAGTTAACTGTTCCCTCCAGGGCCCCAGAACTTCGTGTTGCTGATAATTAAACAATGAAATACAGTAGAAAAGAGCCTGTCTCCCCGGCGTGGCTGGTTATTTATGAGCCCCGTTCATTTTTTATTATTAAGGATGGGAACACAACTTGGGAAGTTTTCTTATCACTCTAATAAAATCTTATTTTCCAAGCACTGCCGGTATAAATTTGAACCCATTACCTCGGTCATACAATCACGGGGGCTCGTAAAGAGGAATAAAGGCAACAAGAATCGCAGATGGGGAAAACCGATCAGGTCACCTCGTCCTCCTGCTAATGTAAAATTAGTCCCCACAGGATGTTTTTGCTTATACTTTGTCCTCATTGCTCCAGTCAAGGGCCTGTCATCGTGGTTACAGCCAAGCACCCATGTTGAGAAAGCAGGAGGCACTCGCTTGAGAAGGGAAAGCAGGATTTGGCTTTCTTCCCAAACGTCCCGTTAACACCTCCGGCTATAAACATCCTCCCAGGCCAGCTGCAGGCAGAAGCCATCACAATGGGCTCCCCTTGAGAGCACGAGTTGCCCAAAAGAAAACAGGCAGGGTTCAGATTCAGTTGCAATCAAGCCTCTAAGTTAGATGTCATCTGCTCCAAAATCCCATGCTGGTCACAGGCCCATCACTTTGCCAGTGCTACTAACAGCTGAAAGGCTTAAGAGCGAACCGATTAAACTGGTCCAAACTTCTTGGTGCCCTGTATGATGCTGGTCCAGACTGGGAAGGATTCAGAGCATCTCAGCTTGGGCCCTTCCACCATTGTTTCCATCTCTTCTGGCTGCAGATTCCCTGGATTATAGTGTGCACGGTATATTTGGTCCCCAGCTTGGTTTAATTCATGGAAAAATTCATTTGTCATTAGCCGTTTTTTAAAAAAAAAAAAAAAAGGGCAAAGAAAAGAAATGGCAGGGCCAGGTTATTTACAGGACAGGGCTAGATTGCCTTGAACTCCAGAAGCATTGATGAGAAAAATTTCTGAGCAGAGAGGCCATCATTACCTGACCCAGGTGTGGGTACATGCAAGCAGCTTGGGCACACGTGAGTGCAAGTACGAGGCTTCCCCACCACAGAGCACACACCTGCAGCCACAGAAGCCGTTCTGCCACGTTATCTCCAAGTCCACCTCTATTTATGTTGAGTTATTTACTGAGGGCGACATTTATGGGTTCATAATTAGTAAGACAACGCAGCGCCGGGGTGTTTAAGATAGCCCGGCTCTTAGCGTGGCGCAAACCCATCAGCGTCTGCAATGACCCGTGACAGTGATTAAATTAGTGAGATGCATCACGGGGCTCACAGATCAGGCTCGCGCTGGATATCAGCCCCCAGCCTCCTTCAAGGGGGCCGGGGAGGCGAGGTAGCTGCATCCGTGCTTTGCTGGGCACAGCCGTGACGCTGAACTGCAGCATTACTTACCCCAGGGCTGCTGGGCAGATAGGTACTCATGCTGCAGACGCCCTTGGACCCATGGGCATGACAGAGCAGGCAGCAGGGGATGGGAGAAGTTATGGGGTGCAGGAACAAGGAGCAGGAGCTGGGGCAGCATGGAAAGAGCATCACTGGGGGGGGGCAGAACCCCCTGGGCCCAGCCCGTCTCTCCCCCTGTAAGCAGGACCACAGGGAGGGTGCTTTTCCCCCAACAACTCCATCCACCCTCCATGCAGTGCCTGGGGGAGGACGGCTGCTAGCTCCCAGCATAGCCAGCACTGGCAGACCTGCCTCCACCCACAGACCGGGGCTGATTTCATGTTCAGCAGCATTATGTTATAGCAGACATGCAATTCAGAGGACCCTGCAGCGCCCTAATGGCCGTCCACGGCTCCGTGATGGGGCTGGGCCGGCGGGCAGGCAGCTGCTAGGGCTTCACAGGGACACATTATCGATTTTGATGCTCAAAGACGTGCAGCCTGGCCTCCTGGGGATCGGCTCCTCTTCCCCCCGCCAGCACCGGGGGCTCGGCTCAGGTGCCCCTGGAGCTAGCAAACCCAGCAAAGCCTACACTGATGGGTGATGGAGAGCACCTCGCTGTCGGGACGGGATTGCCTCTGCCTTGCCCTCTCCCCAGACATCCCCTCTGCAACCCACTCTTTGTTCCCGCTGCCTGGTACAGAAACAGTCCCGCACAGCTCCTCCATCCATCCATCCCCATCCTGTCACCCGGCCTCCCCTGGCCTGTGGCACCGCCAGCCTGCTCCCTAAATGAAATTAAAGGCCCAGCCAGGCCACAGATTCTCCGGTGCCCAATATCCTTCAAAAACCTATTAGGCTTTATGGGGAGCTGTCTCCATATACACAAGAAATGGCTCCGCGCTCAGCTGTTTACAAACCGCTGCCTCACCGCAGACTCATTTTTAAACATCCCCATTTCTCGGCAGCTCCTCACATGCCTTCCACCCGGACCTTGGACCACCTGCCAACATTAGAGGGGTGCCAACGTTAACCACGTCCTGAGCGTCCGTCTGCTCCAAAACCCCGGCTGGCTGGGGCCGAGAGCGTGTTTAGGACCCTGCTAGCACATCTCTAAAAGGGTTAGAAACCCTGGAGCTAGGGCCTGAAGTTAAACCCATTTCAATCTTTCAAAGCGAGTCCTCCCTTTCCAATGAATTTTGTTGTAGAGGTACAGGGGCCTGCACTGCACTCCCGCAGCACTTTCCGGCTGCTTCACGACTCCTCCAAGTACATTGCAAACGATTTACTCACCCCCCTTTGGCTTGTATGCGCTTCCCTGCTACTTCTGGGGTTAGGGAAACTGAGGCAGAGCAGGGAAGTGACTTGCATGGGCTCAAGATGCAACTACTGCCTAACATGCAGGTCAAACAGGCATGGGCTCAAGATGCAACGACCGCCCAACAACGTGCCAGGCAGGAGCTGGGAAGGATGTTTCCCTGCAGAGTATATCACAAGCGCTATGTGAGGGGGTGCTGGCCAGTCCGTGCTGCACGCCCGGCTTCACCTGTGTCACCCCCCCAACCCACTTGCTTTCTTGCCATAATTAAACACGCTCAAAATTTTGCAGCAGGGGAGAAAAATAAGTTGCAAGGAGACCATGGAGGAAATGCGAGGACGCCAGCAAATTCGACAAGTGCTTCTGCGGCTTTTCAAGTGCCCTTCAAGCCACCCTGATTAGAGCCATTTCATACAAAAGCTCCCAGGGGGTTGGGAGGGGCAGCGTGGGGCCGAGCTGCAAGGTGTGGGCCGCTGGGGAGGGCTGCGTGGGCTCTGCGTGAATGCTGGTGGGGGGGGTCCTTCAAAGCCAGGACCCTTCCTGCCTCGGGAAGGAGGTGGCAGCACAAACCCCCTTGCAGCAGGGCACAGGGAGGTCCCACCAGAGGCAGCAAGGCTGGTTTCGCTCACCCAGGGGGAAGCAGCCGCCAGCCAGGGGGTGGGCGCCTGAGAAACCCCACAGACAGAGCAGCTCAGCCGCGCAGCTCCAAGGCAACCACCAATCAGCCCAAATTGGATCATCCATGTGCTAATGACAAACTGCCTGGGTCAGGGAGGGAGTCTCCAGCTCAATAACTGATGCTTCCTGCTCAATAACAACCTCTTGTTTACTTGCCAACTGGACTGCAAGGTCCCTGGAAGCCGCTTGCCCCTCTCTGAAGCCCAGGAAGGACTTGTGGCACACCATGGGGGCCCTGGGGGTCCCTCACCACCTTGCACAGGCACCAAGCAAACAAGGCTGGCAGGTCCCCAGGCCTCCTTAGCCCTCAGGGAGACCGATCCCCCTCTTCCAGCCGAGCGTGAGAGAGGACCACCTGGGACGCAGCTTCTCAGCTGGTCTCACTACAGCAAGGGAAGTTCAAGTTGGATATTAGGAAAAACTCTCTCACCAGGAAGGCAGTAAAGCACTGCAACAGATTACCTAGGTTGTGGGATCTCCATCCTTGGAGGAGTTTAAGACCTGGCTGGACAAAGCCTTGTCTGGGATGATGTAGTTGGAGCTGGTCCTGCTTGGAGCAGGGGGTTGGACTAGATGTGACCTCCTGAGGTCCCTTCAACCCTCATTGCCTATGAGTGTAGCTTCACTTGGATCCAAGCAGCAGCAAGTCAGATCCACAGGCCAGACCCGGGCCAGTGCATGGTCATAGCCAGCATTAAGGTTTGCACCGATAGTTGCTCGGTCCTTCTGGAAGCAGCTTGACCCCTGAGATGTAGGGACAGCCAAAGACAGCAGCTGTGGAGAGCTGGGGTGAGCCTGCAGGTTTCGTCGCTTGCTGGAAATCCTAGTCAAGGCCAGCATTAATTAAAAGAGCCAAGGGAGAGCCTGGCTGGGGGCTTTCCGAGGGACCGCATCTGTGCTGCCTCATCCAGCAAACTTGTTTGTTGAGAAGGGGAAAGTTTCAAAGTCTCCAATATTTTGCCAGGCTGCATAAGCCAGGTCCTGCCCTGCTGGGCCCATCACTATCTGGGCTCCACTAGCCTCTCGCTTGTCTGTGACCCCGTCTCACGGTCCCATTTTCAGAAGGAATTGGAGCCCATTGAAAATCTTGCCCTGCTCGTGCATCAGCAAAAGCCCGTCTAGGCAGACACGGAGCTGGGCTCCATCACAGCCCAGCACTGGGGCTTGCTGTCAAGGGAAGCAGGTCGCTGTCTCTAGGCTCGCAAACACTAGTGGGGCCAAATGCTTTGATTTCCAGCAAAGCACTTACCATGCGGCAGACCACAGGGCGAATACTATCCCATGCCGAGGGCACGTGTGACCCGGAGGCTGCTGCTGATACCAGGCAGCTTGCGGAAACGCAACTATTGCAGCAGGTGCCCCATAACCCCAGGGAAAATGGGCAGCCTCCGGCGCATGCACACATGGAAAACAAGGCTAAAAGGATCGTACTGATTAGCTCCCTGAGAACAGACGGCCCGATAGAAACTGCATTAAAATCTCTTTAAGAAGAAAGCACAAAACCCAGGAGAAAGCTTGGAGCTAATGATGCCACAATGGAGGCAGCAATTAGGCGGCCCTCTCTGCTCCAGGCCCTATGCCAAGCCCTGCTTTAGTGCCCAAGCACTCGCCTTCATTGCCCAGACACACCAAACTCCTAAGCTGGCCTCTGTCCTGGCCCAGGGTCCACTGGAGCCCCGCTGGCCCATGCAATGCTGCAACCCAGTCGTGAGTGAGAAAGACCAGGGAGGGGCACAGAAGCATTTGCCCCTCACCCCCATGGGACTGCTCCGGTTTGGAGGCTGCTGGGGATCACTCACACTCATGGTGCAAGCGTCCCACCCCTGCCAACCCGCCTGCCCTCCTGAGAAGTTTGGCAGGCCCCACGGCCCA